GGCGGCCTGGGTCGTGGCTGGTGCGCGCGCGCGCTTTGCGGGCCGGCGCCTCGGTGCTGGTCGGTGCGCACGTGCGCTCCGGGAGCGTGCACCCCCCTTACCTACCCGGGCCTTGCAGCGGCGCTTGCCCGTGGTGTCCGCTCAGTTCTAGGAGTTGCCACTTCCTTCCCAAACTCCAGAGTCCGCCAAGTCACAAGTAGAGGTAGTAAGTAAGCTGTTTGCAGTGTGAAAAACCCCGACACGTGTGGACTCTTTTCATAACAATCCAAGTTTAGCGTGTACTTTAGGGTTATGACATCAATTTTGTTTCAGTTCAGAAATGCTACTTTTTTTTTTCTTTTCATCGAGTCCACTTTTTTTTTTTTTTCAAAACAGGAGGATCAGGAAATATGTTTCATAGTTGACTCTCTCTTTTACCAGAAAGGGTCTCATGTGGCCCAGGCTGGTCTCAGACTGAAGCCTGGAAGGATGACAGTGAACTCCTGATCCTCCTGCCTCCACCTCCCGAGTTCAGGGTTGTACATGCACCCACCACCATTCTCCTCTCGTAGTAGCTGTTTCTTGACAGTTAATGTTACTCAGGGAAATCTTCATAGGAAGCAGGATTCTATAAAATTTGCTAACCAGTTTCTCAGTATTTGAGGCTCTATGCTTTACACAAACATTTCCTCTCTGTGTCCATCTTGGTGGAAGAAGATCCAGACTATAGAATGTTTTCGAACTGCATTGAACATTGTCTACAGATATGTGAGTAAGCACAGGGCGAGGGTGTTCTGAGCAGGTGGACATGGTAGGCGCACGACGGGGAGATGTGGCATATTTAGGAAGCCATTGACTAGGACGAGGGACAGTGGTTTCTAGTAGAGGGAGAGGTGTGAAGAGATGGGAGGGAGCCAAGCCAGGTATGAGCGGCTTGGTTCCTTGGCAGTTTTAAGATGGTAGTCATCTTGTAATCAGAGCCCATGCTGCTGGGAAACTGGTCAGGAGCCAGGTTTGAAGTGAAACATGGGAAATGGGAAACATTAGTGTTGGGAAAATGACTTCTGACTCTTCGTGGCAGAGAGTACTAAATATTTGAAGAAATGAAAAAAGGCACAACTTTTTGCCTGTGTGCTAGGTAGATAATGCTTTTGGCTTTTTTGTTTGTTTTTCAAGACAGGGTTTCTCTGTGTAGCCTTGGCTGCCCAGGAACTCACTCTATAGACCCTTCAAATTCACAGAGATCGGACTGTCTAGTGCTGGGATTAAAGGCGTGTGCCACACCTGCCTGACCTAAATAATGTTTTGTTAATAGATCGTTGATTTCAATTGTTTGGTAATCGTGTGACCTTTTCTGAGGAGACAAGAACAGACATCTCTTGATCTCTGATGGTGCACCAGTAACAGGCCAAAGAAACAGTTCCGACAAGTCCAGCTTAGTGAGGCAATGCATTTATTGGGTTTGTTCACAGGAGCAACGGAAGCTGTCTCACGGAACAGCCCATGTCACCTGTATCCCTGGAGCTCCTTGCTGTGGCAGCAGCCCTGCAAGAAGTCTCTGCCCAGCAGGCGACTGCTTTTATAACTTTAGATGAGGGCCTGTTGCCTAAGTTTCCTGGGCCTCTGGGCCTCCCTCCTCCATCTAGGAGGCAGTGTTTCAGTTGGGAGGAAATAACTATACAGCAGTAACCCAAAGTGGTTTTTAAGAAGTTGTGAACAGCCTCCAGGAGCAGTTTGTTTGAAGAGTGCTCTGGGAGGAAGTGATTGGGTGAGTAGGGGGTGGCTGCAGAGCAGATAGTATTCGAGTTGAGCCTCTAATGCAGGTATTTCAGGCAGATCAAGTAGCATCATTTCACAGTAGTGAATACGAGGGTGGAGTTAGGCTCTGTGAGGAGTGGGAGGAACTAGGGTCTGGATGTTACTAGAAACCTGGTTTTGAGGCAGTGTAAAGCTGACATACTAAGGAGCATGTCTTTTTATCTTGTCCACAGTAAAGATGTTTTGGGGGAAAATTAATATTTTTCTGTATGTTTGCATATTTTCTTAGCGAAAAGTAAAAACCCATACAGCTACCGTCTTGATTTAACAACTATTAGTATTTTGATGCTACTAGTTAAATGTTATTAGACTATTTCAAACTAATTTGCTGCAGACATGTCATTTAAATATGTCAGCACAGCATTCTTTTTATAATTGAAAATTATTTTTTTCATACAACATATCCTGAGCATAGTTCCCCTCCCTCATCTCCCAGATCCTCCTCCCTGGTCCAAGTTTACAACTTCTTTTTCGGTGTCTGTAGAATATTCTCTCTAAGCTAAGAGTGGCTTCAGACTTGCTATGTAGCCAAGGATGACCTTGAATTTCTGGTGTTCCTGCTTCCAGAACTGAGGTTTCAAGCATGTATCACTTAAAGTGGATATTCTTTTATATATATACAACACTATTACCTAGATCGTAAGTACTGTCTTATAAAATTATTCTGATCTCTTGTCCAATCATATTTTTTTTTTTAAAGCTAGAGCAGGATCCCGTTTGGGTGTAATATGATCATGAGAGAAGGTGAAAGTAACTCGGTGGGATGAATAGTTGTGGGGAGAGGACATTTTTGGTGATGACTGAGAAGAAACTCCTCATTGAATTAAGTGGTCTCATTATAGGTGACTCAGACACTTGCTTTACCTAGAGTCACAGTCAATGTCATTGATTGTCACATGCTTAATTGTACCCAGAGATTTATAACATGTGACACCGTTGGCCCAGAGAAGGTCCAGGTTTTATGTCTGTAATAGTTATATATCCAGCGTCAAAAATGGCGTCTCTCCACAATTAGTCTTCATCCCACTGCTGTTACTATGATCTTCCATTATAAGGAGCCCTGCTCTTGCTTTAAATCAGGGATTTTTTTAAATGGACAAAATAAGCCCAGGGTGGTGGTGCATACCTTTAATGCCTAGAGGCAGAGGCAGGTGGATCACTGGCTCAAGGTCAGCAGGGTCTACAGAATGAGTTCTAAGACAGCAAAGGCTACAAAGAGAAACCTGTCTCAACAAACAGACAGACAAATGCTAATATTCCCTAAAGTTGGTTTGTATTGTTAGCTTTTGAAATTAGACAAGCAGTAGAAGCAAGAGGAAGTAAATTGTCTCCTGTTTGAAACAAAATTTTGTTTTAATTATGATAGTACTTGACCAAGTTTTCAACTTTGCCTCTACAGTGAAACAGATTCTGATAGTTCAAGCTCCTCCTCTTCATCCTCATCCTCATCTTCCTCCTGTGTATCACTTCCTCCAGTGCTGTCAGATGGAGAGGAAGATGCTCAAGTTGAGAAGGAAAGTAAGAATTTTCCTCTTAAAACAAAAGATGAGCTGCTTCTCAATGTAAGTGCTTGGGTTTGTTACTCACATTACTTACTTGTATTAGTTATTGATTACCCCTAAACCTGGTGTCTCTTCTCGCCTTGTCACAGACCTCTGCCATGCTTTGACACTTTCATAGAGCCATGCGGAAAGTTTCTAAGGGTGCTTCTAATCTGACACGTGAGACTTAGCTGATAATTGTGTGGAGGCATTGCCTTCGCTTTGGTAACTTCTTTGTTTTCAAGTCTTTAGACAGGGTTGGGCACAGGTCAGTCAGTTTTAGGCCACTTGCTTAGTGTATGTAAAAAACCTGGGGCGCTGTGTTGATTCTCAGCACTACCAAAACATGAGAAAAATTACTTTTGTAGTTTCATGGCCCTCCTTCATTGTTTATTGCTGCTGTTTTTATCCACAAATCAGACAGTTTCTCCTATAGTAATTGAAATTTTTTTAATTGATTGCTTTTAGAAGTAGAATGCAAAATTCACTGGCTTTAGTGAATTTTTAGCTCTGTAGGATACCTAATCACATTAAATCTTGCATTTTTTTTAAAAAAAATCCCAATTGGGAAAAGATGATTTATATGAAATGGGTTATATTGGCACCTGATTGAAGTTGTTGGCCAAGTTTTCTGTGGTGTCTTCAGCTGTGGAAACTGACCTTTGGAAGAGGATGGCAAATTTGGTTGAAACCTGTGGCTCAAGAGGATAGTCTAAGAATTAGAATACCGGGTAATTGGCTTGTTTTTAATTTAGTTCATGTACTTTAGTTATCAATGCTTCTTCAAAGTTTGGTAATCATTAGTTGTAATTAGTGTAAAAGACCAAATTAGTAACCTAGTTTAATAAGAATTTGAAGGATGTGTATTTCTTGGTTGGATTCTCCCAATATTACTTGTTGCTTAAAGGACATATGGTAGGTTTTTTGAGTAGTATGCCATGGTTCACATGTTAATAGTTCAGAATGGATTCAGGCAAACTGAAAGTGCAGGGAAATCTGTCTGTTTTGTCTGTATCCTGGTTGGCTTAATTAGGGCTTCTACTACTGTGAAGAGACACCATGGTCACAACAACTCTTACAGAGAAAACATTGAATTGAGGTGGCTCGCTTACAGTTTCAGAGATTCAGTTCATTATCATGGCAGGGAGCATGGCAGCATGCAGACAGATGTGGTGCTGGCTGCATCTTGGCTTGCAGGCAATAGGAAGTTGACTGAGACACTGGGCAGTATCATGAGCATAGGAAGCCTCAAAAAGCCCACCCCACAGTGACACACTTCCTCCAACAAGGCCATACCCACTCCAACAATGTTACACCTCAGTGAGATTATGGGGGCCATTTATATTCAAACTACCATATTGATGATCTTTCAGTAATTCTCAGATTATAAAACCAACAAATAGGAGACCACAATATTTTAGAGTTTTATCTGTATAGTTTTATTTGCCTTATTTAGTCTGAATTTCTTAATATTGGGAGTCCTTTGAAATTTAATGCAAAATATTGGGGTAAGGGGGTGGTTTTCTAAATAGAATACTCAGACATTCATGAGAAATCAGACAGGATCTTTGGCTAGATAGGTCAGGAGGCATATTCTTTGAGGACTGAGTTTATACGCATTTTTGCATCTCCCTGGTACTCAGTGAAATAGTTGACTCTGATTGTAGGTTCATAGCAATAGTGATGATTACAGAATGTATGTGTGACTAGGTGTCTTTTCTTTATTTGTCCTTTTAAGAAATTGTAACACATCTGAAACATATACCAGGTACTTGAAACAAAACCAGTCACCTTTCTACTTTCTTATTATATAATGGAAAGACAGTAAAAAGAGCAGAGACAAATATACTTCCTAGGAGTGGTGTTGAAGTATGTGTATTTGGCTCAGAAGAAAATTGCATTTTTTTTTTTTTTGGAAAGTACATTGTTGTCTTTTAGAATTCAACAATGGCTGATGTCCTTTTTATGCTATTTCTAAGGGCTCTTTTGGGAAAGACAAGAGAGGCAGTTACAGTTTACTTTATGTGCATTGGTGTTTTGCCTGCATGTATATCTGTGAGGGTATCAGAAGCCCTGGGACTTGCTGTAGACAGTTGTGAGCTTTCATTTGAGTGCTGGGAATTGAACCTGGGTCCTCTGGAAGAGCAGCCAGTGCTCTTAACCACTGAGCCATCTCTCCAGCCCCTATTTATTTAGGGTTTTGAGACAGGGTCTTTCTGCATAGCCCTAGCTGTATGGAACTCATTAGGTAGACTAGGCTGATCTCAAGCTCACATAGATCTGCCTGCCTCTGACTCCCTAGTGCTGGAATTAAAGGCACACCCCATCACACCCAACAATTTATTAATTTTCAAATTAATGGACTCTTGTTTAAATATTAACTTGCTTTTATATTAACAGTATTAGGGAAACAACACTACCACTTTTTTGCTAGAGGTAGTAGAGATACTGTAATTTCTCTGGTTTGCCCTAAATCTGGAAGCATCTATTTTGACTCTCAAAGGATTCATCAAGTTCAAGACATGAGAGTAGCTTGGAAAAAGGGAGGGAGGGAGAGAGGGAGAGGGAGAGAGGGAGAGAGGAGAAGTTTGGTGTTGAATTCGAAGGATAGTATGACCTCTGTGTCCTTCCTGCTCTGCCTCTCTTGCTCTGTAGAGTGGCAGTTTGGGTAACAATATGCACTTTTTATGAGGGGTTTATAAAAACCCTGCCACCTGTGTCTTGTTCCACAGCCTTGAACAAATAGTGGAGCCAGTGGAATGCATGTTGAGTTTGTTTGGGACATGAGCCTCGTGGTCATTCCTATTTGTGTGGGCAAGTCTGTAGGAGGTGAGAATGTGTAGGAAAGTGAAAGCTTGAAAAGCAAATGAACTGGTATTGATAGTTAGTGGGAGTGCCTACGAGCCAGTTGGCAGGAAAGGAGTGTGAATATGTATTTTGAGGAGGGTGGGGATTGGGTTATTGTACTTTATAAGCCATGTGGGATGGTTTTTCTGACAAAAAAGAGATTCTGTCCAGTAGGAGTATATCAGTGTTAACTGATAGAGGCAAGTACATGGAAGTGATTGTGATGCTTGGCTAAGGTTGGACTCAGTATAGGGAGAAGAGGTACCAAGAGAACAGAAAGATTGACTGTAAACTTGAGGCGGAAAGTCGTGGGAACTAAGGTAGCTATTAGGTCATTATTTTGCGTGCCTCTTGAATATTCCAGTTTCAGTGAATGTCATGTGATTCTGTCTTTCCACATTGGCTTCCCGTATTCACCTCTAGATTGAGCTTTTTCATTCTATCTTCATGGACTTCTCTATTCCTGGCTCTAAATAATGGCTTTTTCTTGTAGATTCCCTTGAACTAGCAGTTTTATTTCTTTTATTTTGGGACAGTACTATTTGGTTTTTATTTTGTTTACTAAATAACAATTCATTCTTCTATGAAGAGTCCCCCTTTGTTAGAACTAATTCCATGTGCTATGGTCTGTTTTGTTAAGACCTTGGATGGGTCACTTGCACTCTTAGGCAGTGTTAATTGCTTATCTTAGCATGAAGCTGCTGGATACATGTAGTTTATTTAATACCTAGCGAAGTTCTGAAGAAAATCAGTTGTTTTTGCTAAGTGCTCCAAATAGTTTGTGTAAGTCTTAGGGATGTCTAGATTATGGACATGCCATGTTTCTTGAAATGTTATGTCCTATCTGCTTTTGACATATTTCATCTTTTATGAGTGTTCTCTACAGATGTGCAGAGCCTCTCTTTACTTCCTGTCAGTCTGCTTTCAAGCAAGAATGCTGCCTCCAACTCAGTCTCCTTAAGTCTTTCCTATTTGAAAACTTAAACTCAGTGATCTGGCTATAGGTTGAGCATCCTTAACTGAAAATCTGAAACTTTTTGAGTATTGGCATGAATCTTTTGTTTCATGAACAAAGTTATTTGAAAAACGGTGTAAGATTACATTTAGTCTATGTGTATAAGGTATGCATTAAGCAAATGAATTTCATGTTTAGGTTTTGAGTTCCATCTTCAGCATATCTCATTATTAGTATGCAACTTGTTAGAAATCAGAAAGCCAGGGTGTTTCTGGTGCCAAGAGTTTCTTGTGAGGGACAATCTGGGAGTTACAGTGAAGTAACTTAGAACTTATTCTTTTAAAGCTATACCTTAGGGGCAGGTTTTTTTGTTTTGAATTGGATGATAGCCAAATCCTGTCATCAGTACATGCTTGTAGTCCTAAGAGTCAGCCTGAGCTGTATAGATGTTGTCTCAAAAACAGAAGCTGTGGAGGGAGGTGGTTAAGGGAACAGGAAAAAGAGATTAGTGAGCCATAGAGGAACTGAAAAGGGCACTCTGGATGATGTGTCAGTTATAGGCTCTGATGTGTGATTTAACTAATTGCATTTCTTCAATGTAAACCTTTGAATGCTGAGAGGCTTTTATAGAATCTGTATGAATGTAGAACACCGTGTGCATTGCAGCCTTGGAGCTATGTTAAGCCCCATAGCATTGACTGTGTGTCATTGAATTAGAAAATTCGATTCCTTTTGAAAAATTTCTCAAAAACTTATGCTCTGAGCTCTTCATTCAAATAAAAAAATGTAATTGAAAATTTGATTTATTAAAAACATTAGATATGGTGTGATGTTCTAATCTATGAACTGCAATAAGCTTTATACATTATTGCTTATTTTCTTGTCTGAAAACCTGAAAGGCTTCATTTTAAAATTGTGACTTCAGTGCTTATGAGGATAAAAAGTGAACAATACTCAATAGGGACAATCCCGTAATTATGCTTATGATACAGCATGACCAAGAAAATGTTAAATGCTGTCAGCAGTTTATGAGAAATTTAACTTTCAATCAAGACTGCCTTTTTTTTTTTTTTTTTTTTTTTAAAAAAAGAAGTATACTTTGTATTTGGCTTGAGGACACTTATTTTGTAATTCAGACACATTTAAAAAATCTTCACATGAGGGAAAGAAATACCTAGGCTACTTCAGGTAGTTAGAAGTTGCTGTGAAATATTTTATA